TAAGTGTGAAAATGAAATGATTGTGAATTAGGTGATAAGCTAATAAGGGACTAATGGGTTTTACTTATTGCTAGCAATATTGTTCCTGTATCATTGGCACAAAACTACAGATCTGAAATATGAACATAAAACCTACTTCAGTACATCAGCTATTTAGGAAAATAAGTGACAAATATGCAAATTTGTAATTTGATCTGCTGACAATTATTCTCAAGGACAGAACCAGTGTCAAAAGAGAATCTGGGTACAATCTCTTGCTTTATAAGGCAGCTAAGAAATTGCTGACAGTCTTCTCACCTCCACGATGATTTGCAAACTCTCCACCATCTGTTCTTTACGAGCAGTTATTCTCAAAGAGTATTCCTGATGCCAAGCCCACAGGATACAGATTCTTTGAACCCACTTCCATAAAGTAAGTGCAGTGGATAAAGCAATGCATCTGCAGCCGTGCACGGGCCTGGTAAAGCCATCGCAGCCTAAATTAACTGGACTGTGGTCTGTGCTGTGCCATAAATAGGCTCAAGATGATGGCCTACCAAAACTAGGAGGCAGTTTGTGGACATTAGGACTCCAACCAGCTTTAATCAGATATATTTATGTTGAATTCGACCCAGGTTTTCTAAATGAATGTCTAGTGAAACAGCTTACTTCATCTATCATCCGATGTTTCTCTGCAGGGCTAGGGACTTCTGCTCATGTTTTTTTTTTTTTAATGCTAGAAATAAAAAAAAAAACACAAGCAAATCAAATTTCTTCTGAAATATTGTCTTGATTAATCATCACCAATCCAAAGATATTTGCATCACCACACAATCCCAGAATTATATTCTTGACAGAAATGCTTTATGGAACTATTAATAACGTTGATATTTTTCCCCCTTGTGGCGGTTGAAAAAGCATGATAGAAGGCATTTTCTGTAAGCAATATTACACAGATGATTGATGCCTTCACCAAACAAAGAACAATCTTTTTGAAATTTGACTATGGAAAAGAGTCAGGCAAGACAGCAACACCCAAAAAAAAAACATCCCTGATTTTTAAACAGCTTTCTTTTCACCTTTTGCGATTATTTATTTTCAAATAGTCCTTCAGGGTAATGTACCATTTTCTTATTTCACACTGCTATTTCCCATAAATGAGGCGAAGGCGCTATAAATCAAGAGCCAAACAAAGACTTGTGCAGAAGCTCGACGAGGTCTAAAGATTTATGTAACACATTCATGTTTTCCACTTCTTCATTTTAGTGCTGCACTGTGAAAGCCTGCCTAATAAAAGGCCCTATTAATATTTCCTGTTGCCTAGCAACCGCAGGCAGCAAGTAATAGCATTCCGCGGAAAAATAGATGACCGGGCCGATAAGGAAAAATTCAATTCTTTTATTATCTCTGGGGAGAGGGTGCCTTATTTCTTTCCCCCGCAATATGATATGAGAGCGCGCTTGTGTATTAAGAAATGTTTTAAAGAAATAGAAGTTATTTTCCAATTTCATTATATCACAAATGAGAGGAGGGGAAGAAAGAAGTCCTGTTTCTTTATTTAAATAAAGTTAATTAGTTATCTAATCAAGGATATGCTCTCACTTCTTTGTATATGTGAGGTTTCAGTGAGGTTTATTCATATAGATCTATTCATGCATAGCTGATTCTGTTTATGTATTTAGTTATGCCCTAGTTATGTCATTTACTTGGGTAATGAGCTTTCCACTGTTATACACACCTGACAGTTTCCACTAGTTTTGGTAGTTGTGTGTGTGGTAGCTTGGAAACCAAGCTCTGATTTGATTGTGAGTCAGCATACCAGTAGCATATTCTCAGCACCCTTATCTCAGCAGAAGAGACGCAGACAGAGGCAGAGAGTGGAAGACCTGGTGCTGCTCCGTTACCAGCTATTACTACTGCACTAGATAAAGCCCTGTTTTATGTATCTCATTTGGCCACCAGCTCCACCATCTTATCATAGCATGAAATCATGTCCATATTACTGTGCTTTATATCTCCCGCATGCATCAGCTGACTGCAGCTCCTTCGAAACAACATACTTTTAGCTCACTGCCTGCTGTTGTGGGTGAGAGAGAAGGGGGGGGGGGGGGGGGG